GGCTAGAAATGTGGTTTTTTTTAAAAGAGTGTTTACCTCTGTGTGTAAAACATTATCTACCAGAAGATAAAATAGAGCACAAAAGCAGATGTGGAGAAACCAGTTGAGAAGGAATATCAAAGATTCTTGTGAGAGACTAAGTTAGTAGCATTCACAGGAAGGAAATGATTGGAGTCAAGAATTATTCTAAAGAACTTGACGTTTGAATTGAAATGGTGGATTATGGAGAGAGAAGTCATTGACTTAAGAGTTCTTCCAAGATCAAATGCATGAACACAGGTGTCATCTTCTAAGATGGAGACTCCTGGAATAGTAACAGAATGGCAGGGTGGATCAAAAGCTGTGTAAATGGAGATCTTTACTGCGAATATGTAACATGGGTCTGAAGCGCAGAAGAGCTGCTAGCACTGGATTAATAAATTCTATCCACCTTAGGAGGGTAAATAGAACCAGAAGTACAGTAGGTCCAGGACTAACATTGGGTCGTTCAGATATTGGATTAAAAAAGAGAGAGAGCTGGCAATGGAGACTGTAAGTCAAAAATCAGAAAAACAAAACCAGGAGACTATGGGGTCAAAGTAACCAAGAGGAGAATTTGTTAAGGAGAAATTGTTAAGGAGAATCAACTCATGTTAAATGCTCCCAAAAGGTCTCAGAAGAACCTTATAATTTGTATCTCTCTTAAACCCTAGGGTCCTTCAGAAACGGGGTTATTTCATTTATTTTTTTATTCTCAGGGCTTGCCTCACACATAATAAACGATTCATAAACTTTTGTGAAATTGGAGAGAAAGACAGAGATACAGAGATACAGAGAGATAGAGGGTGCTGTGGGGTGGCAGGGGAAGAGAGAATGGAATAGAATGAAATGTATCTTTGGGTCTCAAAAATAACTAAAACGGATTCCCTTGAACTTTACCACAAGCCAAACTTGACTCAGGAAAAATAAGAATCTGCTCCCTTTGTTTTACTCTTGAGCTAACAGTGATTGAGCTCTCACAATGCCGTGCTATTGAGATGTTAAATGCCTCCTGAAACCATTATAAGTAATATTCACCTGTGTCTGGTCATTCTGAGTGATTGTTGTCTTTATTTAGGTCCTGAGTGATGACAAAAAGAGCAATTTGCCCTTCCTCATCAATTTGACTCCATCATCCTGCCTTGAATCACTTGATGGAGTCTGGAGAATCCATTTCAGTGCCACTACAGTTCTGGAATACACTTAAGCACCCCTAAGGATGCTCAGCCCCAGTTTCCCATCAAAGGGAAAGATGACTTTGTCAGGAAGAGACGTATCATCTCTTAGAGAAACCATCAGCTTCTCTGTAAATTATTGTTTCTGCAGAAAAGTACAGCAGTGATCAGGGGAGACTATAGAGAAAACCAAAGGAAAAAGGGTTTTGACTTTGTCCCTGAGAAAATGAAAACATTCTACATAGCAAAAGACATGCCATGACCTTTTGGTCCAAGGTCCTTGAATTAGAAATGAAAATAATAAATGTCATTTAAGTAATATTTTAAATGGTATAACATCCTGTATTATTTAGTTAGACCAGAGGTAGCAAACTTTTTCTGTAAAAGGCCAGAAAGGAAATATTTTAAACTTTGTGGACATAAAGTCTGTTCCAACTACTCAACTCTGCCACACTTGTAGAAAACAAGAGTGGCCATGTTCCAATAAAACTTTATGGATTCTGAAATTGGAGTTTCATATAAAATATATGTCACATAATATCATTCTTCTTTTGATCTTTTTCAGCTATTTGAAAATGTGAAAACAATTCTTAGCTCACAGGCCATACAAAAAAGGGTGTGGGTTGGATTTGGCCCAGGGACAGTAATTTGGCAACTTCTGATTTATACAAACATGAGGTTCAAGTCATGAGAAAGATTTTCAGATGTGGACTTCTGAAGAAAATAATGTTTCGTGTATACCTTTTAATTTTAACTTGTCAAATTTATTTGAATATAGAAATACATTTACCTACAGTTTACTTATTTGGGATAAAGTATATCTGCTCAGTTCAGCATTAATTTAACACTTTGCCCCTTCTCTTCCTTATAATGAATCAATGTGCATGAAAGTAACATCTTTAAAGAATACACTGAAAAATTCTCACTACTGAATTTTATAAGTGCCCAAACCAAGAGAGGATTTATCAAAACTGCATTAATTCTTCCACTAAGTTCTTAAAATGTTCTAATTCTTACATAGTACAGTATTAAGTCTTAAAAAATTAGAAATGAAAGAGGGTAGGAGAAGATCAATAGATAGACAGACAGATAGATCCATCCATCCATCCATCCATCCATCCATCCATCCATCCATCCATCCGTCCATTGATGAAAAATCTAATAACTTGTGTCAGTAAGAATTATTTGAATATATCACAATATGTATGTCATCATTTGAAGCAACAGTAGTTAGACAACGCTAAGTTGAAATTTGAGCGCTTTTGTGTCCCAGCTGTATGACCTTGGGCTGATTACATAAACTTCATGTTTTTAAAATGTGGATAAATAACACCTGCCTGTCAAGGAGGATGTGGGCATTAAATAAGATAGTGCATGTAAATCAGCTAGCGTGGTACCTGTAGTGGTAAATGATCAGTGAATGGCAAATGTTGTATAACGCCAGCATGAAGGTATAAAATACATACAAAAGAAACACATAAAGACAAAGCAGAGTAACCTTGTAGTCAAGAACTTAACACATACAATCATTTTTAGAGCCAAAAGCCTGGGGACTGACGACTTGTAGAGCACATATTTGTGGAAATAAAAGCAGAAGTGACATGTCACAGAAGTATACAGTAAAGCACCTGGCGAGCTGTCCTGCCTTTGTCTCCCCTAGTAACCAGCTGCTGGATTGTCTAAGGAGCTCCACCTACAGGTTCAGCTCTCTAACCTCCCTTACTTAAACACCAGTACGGACTGGGGAGAAAGTGTATCATCAGGATCAGCCCCAGCATCTTGCTTCCTTCCAGCCAGGTCAGCTGTGCCTCAGACCCCTACAGATCTCTCCTGTTATGCTTCCCATTCCTATATATCGCAGTGCCGGCCTTTCACCTTGACCTCCACACCTTCAGTCAGATTATTCTGCATTGCATTCCAGTCTTCCTATAAATGTGGACCCTCTCTGGAACCCTGGCCTATATGATGACTCTAATATCTTGGTTAGCTTGTCTCTGACCAGCTTTCTTCCCCAGAGGGCTGTATTCTGCTGCCCACACCCCTGCTGTGATCTTAAATTACGGTGCACAGGTACTTTACCCTTCCTGCTCGACTGCTTAGTAGTAATAACTTTCAGCTTGCTATGAGACATCAGGTCTTGTGCAGCCCAGCTGCCCTCACCCAAGTCAGCTTCTGTATTCACGGCCCTTGGTGTATTTCTCCCCGCCCTAGTGGCTCATGCTCTCTCCACTGGCCATGTATTGTCAACCGGTTCTAGCATGCCTTGTGAGCCTGTTATGGCAACATCAATAATGCTTTCCCAATACAAATGACAAAATTATTGGCAACGGGGCATGATACAGGGGTAATAGAGAACTTCAACATCTACTGACAAGCTCATTCTGCTGAAAAGTGAGCAGCGAATAAAGTTGGCATGACTTAAATTTAAGCTAATTGCTTATTGAAGAGGTACTATTCAATGCTTAATTCATACCAGCTAAGAAGAATGGGTTGGTGAAGTGGAAGTGACAGACAACTTAAAATAAGTGACCACGGCATCCTTGAATTTGTAATAGCCACAGAAGGCCATTCAGCACTTGCTAGCCTGACACAAAGAAGACTTGAACAAGTTAAGGGAAAATATGGACGTGAGATGCTGTCTGGCCAGGAACCAGGGAAGAAAGCTTAAGAGGGGTAAAATAATGTGAAGTTTAAATTCTTATAAAATCACTGAAGAGAAGGGGGCATCTAAAAAAAGATCGATGTGGCTGTTGAAGAAGAATCGCAATAAGCTGGTATTTGCCAAGGACATGTACAAAAGAGGTAGGAGTCAGGGTATACAACAAGGCTTCATTCAAAAGAAAGGTTCTGACCTGTGCAAATAATCTAGAAAGCTAATGTCCAAACACAACTAAGGTCTGGGAAACGTGTTGAAGACAATGAATAGTTGTTGGTTCTTTGTGTATGTTTATAGTGAGGATAACAAAGAAGGGTAAGGCCAGTGGATGGGGCAGACTATCTAACGTTCATTGTTTAACTGAAAAACAGAATTATGCAACCACAGCATTTCATAAAATCAGCATGTTTAACATGGTAGTGTTTTGCAGGGAGGACTCTAAAAGTTAAGCTTGGTGCATTATGCAATACATTGGTCATAGAATAGAGGGATTAGGGACTCCTTTCTCTTAGCTCTGTCAGTATCAGTTGCACTCAGCAGAGGAGAAGTCCACTTTGTGTCCTGAAAGTGGCAGTGCTGCCACCAAAGGAAGGAGTCAGAAAGTGGATTGGAGGCCACATTCAGAAGTGTATTGTCTCTGTAAGGAACAGAAGAGGCTGGATGAGCCCTAGAGTGTGTGGGTATGATGGCCCCCCTCTTCTGAACACTGCTCTGATTGACTTAAAGCCCCAGTACTCTGGGGTCCAACTTATTTAGCTCCCGTTGACTCTATGAAAAGTTCCTCCACGAATATACTTAGATCAAGTTATAGTTCTGAGTTCACAAAACAGAAGACATTGCAGGGTGTTATAAGTAAGACTTAAGGGAGGGAGAAAAGAAAGGTAGGAGAGTTGATGCTATGTTCTATTTCTACCCACTCTATGGTAACTGTATTAAAGAAGGAATTCTGAGAAAAAGTTGGTTCAGATGAGTTGGCTACGGAGGAAATTGTTCCAACTACTTATCACTAGACCTTTAACAACTGATTTTAAATCTCATTTCGACCAGGTTAATAGTTTGGTGAAAACAAATGATTTTTCAAATGGCAGAGGATTGGTCATTTTCTGCTAAAACAATGATTTTGATACTGAAAGATACAGTCCTTACCTCAGTTGTCCTCAATACAGTATGTATTGTCCTTTCCCAGATGCTCTGTCCTTTGAGACACCCATGTAGTTCCACCGAAGCCGACGCCACCTTTATCTCTAGGAGGTAGGACGTGTGGTTCAGGCTAAGCCAAACAGTGGGTTTCATTTCCTTGGTTCCAGATATCACCTAAGTCATTCCAATCAAAGAGAATGTCAGAGTTTTCGTTAGGAATACTAGGACAAAGACACTTCCCTTCTGGAAGTGAAGGACGTGAATGCAGAAGCATGTAACCCTGGGAGTTATTGGCAGCCATCTTGGAGCAATGAGGGAGCTATTGAGAAGGGCATTTTCACCTTTCTCGCTGGTGAGAGGTAATGGAACTTCCCCAGAGAAGAAAGGGAACCATTAGGTCCTCTCCACATTGTGTGAACCACCTAACCAAATATGACCTTGAAGCCTTTGAACTTTCATTTATGAGAACCAATAAATTCTATTTTTCATTTTGTCAGTTTGAGTTAGGTTTTCTATTTCTCTCTGAATCAAAAGGATAGAAAAAAAATATATGGCTAAGACCAAGTAGCATACATTTCAGATGAATTCAAGAGTTAAATGTGAAAAATAACCCACACGAGAAGTTGTATATGTTAAAAATGAAAGTAGTGTAAGCATTTCTTGACTTTTGGGTGATAAAGGCTTTCAGGAGCAAAAACATAAAGGTTTATAGTTTATAAAATAAAAGCATTTGGATATTTGACTAATTATAACATTTTATAAGTTATAAACAAAAGTAAAAGATAAATAAGGGATTCTAGGACTTGTATAAATATATATATATATATATATATATATATATATATATCAAAGGATAATATCCTTAATATGTAAAGAGCCCTTACAAACTCATAAGAAAAGGAAGCATGGATAGCAAACTTGAAAAAGCATAACAGAAAAAAAAAGGAAAAAGGTCCAATCTTACTTGTTATTAGAAATGCAAAATAAAGTAAAAGCAGACGTCTTTATGGCTACCAAGCTATCAAGAAATTTAACATATTAAATTGTGTAGATAAAGGTACAGGGAAATAAGCACCCTCATATAAATGTCCATATAAACTGAGTCAAGCATTCTAGAGAACAATTTGGCATTGTATAAAAAAAAACATATACAAACCACTTGACATGGTAATTTTGTTTTTAGGAGTTTATCTTAAGAAAATAACCATTTTGGGCCTCCCCTGGTGGCGCAGTGGTTGAGCGCTGGGTTGCGAGGCTGCCTGCAGCCTCTGCAGCACCAGTTCAATCCCCAGCCACTGGCGAGGGTCCCACCAAAAAAAAAAAATAATAAAAAATAAACCACAAAATATCATTTATAAAATTTAATGTAGAAAAATATTTAGAATATTTAGTACAGTATTCTTTATACTAAACACTTAGAGATAATATAAGTGTCCAAAGAGAAGTAGTGTATAAATTACAATGTCTGCCTATGATGAAAACTACATCTAGAAAAAAGCAGGTTATGGAAGATGTCATGACATCAGCAAATGTTGGCCGTTTGTTTTTAAACATTTGATCGGAAAAAATAGTCCAATTGAAAAATACTTAATGTGGTAATATTGTTATAGTAGAGTTACAATTGATATCCTTCTTTGTGATTTCTTCATATTCTAAATCCAGCTCACTATATGTGTACTACTCTTTTAATCAGGATTTTTAAAAAAGATATTTAAGATGGAATAGGAGCCCAAGGTATATGATAAGTAGGAAAGAACTTCATCTTTTTTTTTAAAGATTTATTTTATTTATGCAAGAACTGGGGTACAGGCCAGAGGTGCAGGAGGGTGAGAGAATTCACCAGAGACAGAACGGGGAGCAGAACAGGCAGATGGACCGAAAATACTGCTGAGAGGAGCAGCAGGTGAGACAGGAGAGGTCTGGCGCGCCATGTGGGTATCTCCCTAGCCAGCTGGGAATAGAACCCGCACGGCAAAGGCTGCAGACAGCTTCACAGTGCTGTGCTCAACCTGCTGGGCCACTGGGGAGGCCCAAGAACTTCACACTTTTAAGTGAGATTCAAATCCACAGAAATGACTTCCAGGATACAAAAGAACTTCTAGGCTCAGCCATTGACATGCTATGAGGAATAACTGATGGTGGGAGAAGTACTGTATGCCTGGAATTTGACAAATGTCCCAATTTTTAGAAAGGAAAAGGTGGATTCCAGAACTTACAGACTGATAAATTCAGTTGCTCAGATAAATAAAAGTGCTGTCAACTGGAGCCAGCGAGTACTCTTGGAAGTCCACCCAAAATGTGCTCAGTTCCCCCATATGCTTTCTTTTTTTTTTTTTTTTAAGATTTATTTATTTATTTATACAAGTACTGGGTACAGTCAGAAGCGCGGGAGGGTGAGAGAATTCACCAGAGCCAGAGCGGGGAGCAGAGCAGGCAGAAGGACCAAAGTACACTGCTGAGGGGAGCAGCGGGCGCGGCAAGAGAGGTCTGCGCGCCATGTGGGACCCAGGGGAGCAGCTGGGATCAAACTGGCGCTTCAGAGGCTGCGGGCAGCTTTGCAACCCAGCGCTCAACCGCTGCGCCACCTGGGAGACCCCTCCCCCATATGCTTTCCATCATGTAGTCCTCATCCCAGTTCCCTGAGAATTTAATCATCCTATTCCATAGACAGTGACAGAGCCTATGGTCAGAGATGTCCTCCAACCCACAGAGAATATTATTTTTGTAAGTATTTTGTAAATATTTACAAAATATCATTTTTTGGTAAATACGTTGTTTTTTGTACATCTATCCCTGAAAGATTAAAGGGATACTTGTCATTCCTGGCATTGACATTTCATGGGATCCTCCTGCACAATGCAGAGAACATGGAACAGAATAAATTTATAGCATTATTAGTAGATGAAATGGTCATAACCAAAAGCGTGGATTAAAGAATACTGTTTACCTGGAGCTTTCTTTTTTTTTTTAAAGATTATATTTATACAATAGATGGGGTACAGGCCAGAGGCGTGGGAGGGTGAGAGGATTCACCAGAGACAGAACGAGAAGCAGAACAGGCAGATGAACGGAAAGCACTGCTGAGGGGAGCAGCGGGCAAGACAGGAGAGGTCTGCCACGCCATGTAGGTATCTCCCTGGCCGGCCAGGAATCAAACCCATGCTGCAGAGGCTGTGGACAGCTTCACAGTGCTGCGCTCAACCCTCTGGGCCACTGGGGAGGTCCTACCTGGAGTTTTCTAAGTGGGAATAATATTTACCACTTGTTATATGCAAATTTTTCAGGGAAAGTATTATCTACCTCTCATCTCAATCGATCTTCCCCAACAGCCAGAGAAACAAGTTCTGTAATCACCTCCACTTTACAGATGAGAAAAATCAAGACCCAGGCTAATGAACTTGCTAGTGAGTAGAGGAACTAGAATTCAGTCACAGAAAGTCTGGCTTACAGTCCATATGTTTGACTAGTATACTAGAAGTTAGTCTTTAAAGCCTGGGCTCATTTTCTCCTCAAGTAATATTTTATTAAAAGGAAGATGTATAAATCTTCAGTTATAACTTAAAAGGCATACTTAAGAATACAAAGCTGAGACCATGGAAGAAAAGGAAGTTAAAAAAAAAACTTTTATTGAGCTTATAATTTAAGATGTTAAATATGCCCTCTTTTAAGTTTCAGAACCACTTTGCAATGTAAATAAGATTATCCTTACTTTCCACTGTAAGCAAGTTTAGACTGAGAGATCATGACAAGTCCAAGGGCACTGGGCTATATAACAATACCAGGGTTTGGGTTCACATCTGTCTGACTATTGAACCCTTGATATTTTTACAGCTCAGTATGAAAAACCAAATGTAAAAATATAATCTTTAGTGGGGAAAAATGTAAAATTCTCCAAAAGACTTTAAAAAGTCAAGTGTACTGATGTAAGATTTGGGAGATCTTATTTATTGACATTTCTAGAGCAAAAGATCTCAGAATTGTGAAGTACCAAAGTCAGCACTCTAACGATCAGAACACTCACCCAATCTCTCATGGTTTTAACAGAAGAACGGCTTCCTGGAGGCAGGAAAGAATGTTTTACTGGTTTGTGCACTGCCCATACCAGATGAGGATACTCATGACTAATTCTGAGCACCACATATTAAAAGGGGCAGACTAGTCTGTGGATGTCCAGAGCAAAGCAGTCAGCTGGCAACAAAATATGCACATACATGCATATACGCATGCACACATAAACCTGGGATTGTTGCATAAATGTTGAGTAAGTGAAGAAACCCAGGAGGTAGCTGAAAGCCATTCTTAGTTGAAGGATGACAATAAAAAATAATAAAAAAATTTTTTTATTCTGTGTGATTCCACAGGACAGAGAGCTGTGGTGCGCAGAGGCAGAGGCAGATTTTGGGCAACACATGAACAGCCCAAGACTGTCTTGATATTTTTTTAGTTACTAAAATGCCAATCTCAGTGCTTTCAACTTAGCAGGCACTCAACAAATACATGTCGAACTGAATTCAATGTCCAATTGCTCAAAAACACAATGAAGTGGTCTTGTGGGGTAGCTCATGAGAGATGCTTGAGCGCAAGTAGGATGGCCAGCTGTTGCACACAAGATTTCCATCCCATTACGAAAAAAAAAAAATCCTACACTTCATCCAAGTCCATCTTCCCAGACATTATCTGCTTCCCTCATAGCCATACTTCCAAGAGAAGTCTTCACTCAATCCATTCGCCTGACTTCTAATTCTGGGATTGTGCTCATCAGATCTAATCACTACACCTAATCTTGTCGCTCAGAGAGAGCTGTTAATCATTTCCTCTTTACTTTTTTAAAGATTTATTTTTTTATGCATACAAGAACTGGGGTACAGGCCAGAGGTGTGGGAGGTGAGAGGACTCACTAGAGACAGAGTGGGGAACAGAACAAGCAGACTGACTGAAGTAGACTGCTGAGGGGAGCAGCGGGGAGACAGGAGAGGACTGCTGTGCCATGTGGGTAGCTCTCGGGCCGGGGATCGAACTCACCCCGCAGAGACTGCAGACAGTATCACAGCACTGCGCTCAACCCCTTGCACCACTAGGGAGGCCCTCATTTCCTCTTTAAAGGTCTCTGGTCCCTTTTCCTCGCAGACCTCACTCTACCCCATTCTGATGCTGCCTCTCCTCCTTACCAGTCTCCATCACTTGCTTCCTTTCCCCTCACTGGCTGCAGACAGTTTTATTCAGAGTTCTGTTCTTAGCAAACCTCTCTCCTGACCTGCAGCTCTGTGTTTCATTCATAACTGGCCAGCCTACATGTACTGTAAATGTGATGTTAATCATCTCCTGGACAATTGCTCTCCTCCCATATAGCTTAGTTAATGTCCTTACACATCAACTTTGACCTCTCTTCCCTACTCCTAACCCCCATCTAATCAATCACTGTGTCCTCAATGCTACTTCTAAATCTCCCTTGGATTACTTGTTACTACTTTTCATCCCACGGCTGCTATGGTGATTCAGACCTTAATCCCTTCTTTAGACTATTACGGCAGCCTTCTAATTGGCTTTCCCAGTTCCAATCTCCTCTTGCTCTACCTCAGTGTTCATTCTACCACTAAAGTTTTGTTTTTATTTAATATGAATGATCACATCTCTTCCTTATTTAAGAACCTCTGACAGTTACTTATTATAAACTTCAAATTCCTAAGCTGTGAATCCAGGTTCTTTTCAGTATAGTTACAACCTACCTTATCAGTCATTTTCAGCCCACCCCAGACTTCCCTTTTCTCTCTGAACACATTTTGCCTTTTCACACCTTTGTGCTTTTTCTCATCCTATCTCCCTAAGAAAAATGCCGCTCTTCTTCTCTCGGCCAATTCATCTCCTTCTGTGCCCACCCTAAATGTCAGCACCTCTAGGAAAAGAAACCATCTTCAGCTTCCAACTCAGAAGCGAGAAATATGGTATTTAAAGCGGTGGAGTGGATGGTCAGTTGGAAAGGACCAAGCTCAGAAAGGGAATCCCAGCATTCAGAAATGAGGAAGAATACAACAGAAGAGACCAAGAAAGGACAAACCACAAGGTTTGAGGAGAATACAGGTGGTATGATGAGAGTCTAGTGAAGAAGGTGTTTGAACAAGAAGGGAACCAGCATTGGGGCCAAGAAGTTGCTGAGAAGGTAGTAAGATGAAGACAGAAAATTAGGGCCTCCCCTGGTGGCGCAGCAGTTGAGTGCTGGGCTGTGAAGCTGCCTGCAGCCTCTGCAGCGCCGGTTCGATCCCCAGCTGCCAGCGAGGGTCCCACATGGCGTGCAGACCTCTCCTGCCGTGCCCGCTGCTCTCCTCAGCAGTGTATTTCATCAGTCTGTCTGTTCTGTTCCCTGCTCTGGCTCTGGTGAATTCTCTCACTGCTCTTCTGACTGTACCCAGTGCTTGTATAAATAAATAAATAAATCTTTAAAAAAAAAAAAAAGACAGAAAATTGGCTATGTGGATTTGGCCACATAGAGGTCACTGTGACTTCCAAAAGTGTGTTTTTAGTGGTATGATGGAAACAAAAGGCTGATCAGATTGATGTCAAGACATCACCAGAAGTAAGGAAGCTGATATGTGTTGAATGGGTGAAGAATGGATGAATGAAGAAATGAAATATTAGAGAGGATTCTATCAGTGATCAGGAAACAAAACAGATGCGTTATTTGGGACTCCTAGAGTCTGAAAAAATCTCCAGATAGAAACAAGGATGCTCTTTTATGGTATAAAGCTTTTACTTAAGTGATGAGGGATTTCAGCAGAGGATTACTGAGGTGGTAGAGTTAGAATTGGGAAGGTTCTGTCCTGTTTGCATTTTATCTACTGCTGACCCAGGTCATAAAGACTTTCATGCAGTATTTCTAAAAGCTTTTGGGGAAGAGCTGTCCCTGCAGGGACTTGGTTATAGGATCCAGAGACTATTTCCAAGTACCTCTTGCTAGTATGTGGGTTTGCTATAAGAAGCTGAGTGTCTTATAGTGAGAGTATATACTAGTTCTATTTTAGTAAACTCAGTATAAAGCTGAGTCTCATTCTTTTAGAGTCTCATTCTGCTGGGCAGAACCTAGTCTGAATGATTGGAAAGAGGTAAACAGGGAAAAATCTGACTTATCCAACATAGTGGATTTAAAAATGCTGTTTTTTGGAAGCATTTCTGTATAAAGGCTTTATACAGAAATAATAATGGGGGACAAGCTACATGCTCACCTGTATTTAATGAACAGTTAGGAGTTCTCTTACCTGTCACCCCCCTGGAGTCTATAACAGAATGAAATAAGGAGATACAGATCTTGGGGAGACTAGACCCAAACTTTGATTTTTGTGCTGTTATCTCTGTGACATTCCTCCAATAGTCAGATTTTCAAAAGGTAGTTTGGTACAGAGTCCAGGTAGAATGTGTTTTTACTTACATGACTGAGGACAAAAAAAAGTCACTATCAATATACATTTCCCCTTAGAGGATGCCTGATGGTGGCATCCATGAATGGGTTGTGAAATAGAACCAGTCATAGGCTATCTGAAGAACTGCCACCTGCCATGCTGTATTTCATATAATTCCCCAAGTACATCAGGTGCTCTTATTTGACTGTCTGTGTCTTGGCCCACGTTTGCATCCACTCCTTGGAACACAGACCTCCTTTGTCCAGGCACCACTAGATGTAAGGTCACCTTCTCTACCTTGGAGGCTTTCTTCACCCTTTGGAGACACACCAATTCCCAAACCATTTTCATGAATGTTGTACCATCTCCATTCATACTATATTGAACTTAAAAGTTTTTCATTCTGGCTCCTTCGTTGAGTTGTGATTTTCCTGAAGTCAGTCATTTTGTCTTCTTCTTAGTCTATGCTTCTAAAATAGTGCACAAGCTTTTTGGGCACACAGTCAATGTTTGCTGGATGGGTTCAGGAATGCTGAAGGGTGTCAATGAGTGAATGAATGAATATGTGAAAAAAATCAGAAAAATGTTACCCCCCTCCTCCATGGAAGCTAATAAGAGTATAAAAGTGCCAATGGCTTTACCTACATGCAGAATTTGTGACTGTAATGGTACTTTCCAAGCCCAGCTGAGATGAAAGTTCAATACAGCAAAGTGCATCTGAGGAAGAGAGAGCTACATGTACTCCACTCCTCAGTGTGCAGAACAAGATGGTTAGAACTGAACTGATTCAAAGCAGAGCTGGGTGGTGTGAACTGATTGATTTTGATCTAGATTGGGGAGAAGATCTGATAGGTAGAACACATGAATATTGCTCTGTTATTCCTTTTAAGTAAGATTTTTTTTTTCAGTTTAAGATTTAAGGGCAGATACATCTTAATAAATTTTTTATCTAAGGCATGATTTCATTGTGGAAAAAAAAGAAAGAAAAACAAACCACCTATTACCCTTCTGAAATGGAAGTTACATTAGGCAGTCATCTTGTTCCTACATGCCTCGGCTTCTTTCATGCATAATTTGTAAAATGATAATAGCCCTTACTAATATTTACATTTTATAAAAGTGTTGTACTATAAATTAGATAGTATAAAATGGGTTAGGTTGTCTTCTTTGAGAGAAAATCACTGTACACAAATGAGGTATTATTATTTAGTTTTTCCATTTCAATCTCATTAAATGAGAATTAGATGAAAACTCTGCTTTAAGCAATATCCAGTTGGAAAATGATTATTGACTGGAGTGAAATGAAAAAAAAAATTTCAGTCGAAAACTCAGTTTGTGCAGCTTAGCTAGTCTGTGCGAAGGCAAAATGTTGTGTTAGTTGTGATGTTTGCCACTATTCTCTATCTCCGCTCTGTGCTGTAATCACAAACTAAAGACAGTTAAGCTTTTCAGTTTAGTCCCCCTGTGCATTTTAGAGGACACAGATATCTGGGAATGACTACAATTTAGAAATAATGTTTCAACTAATCAAGTCATGCAGTTAGTTGTGGAACTGATTTGGGGCCTCAATGAGCCATCTCAGGCCTTTCCTTCAACTCCTAGTTCTTAGGCTCCAGAAAGCCATGACTGCAACCTTTTCAGGGTAGTTACAGCAGGTGATGCCGCTGTGCAACCCAGTAGCACCTCCCAGGTCAGAGATTTCCTATCTCCTTGGACTACAGGATTAATGTCACAAGAGCAGGGTTGTGGAAATAAGATCTTGGGAACTGTGTGTGAGAAACTTTACTTCGTAACAGGAAGGCGTGCAAATAGAATAGCACATTGCAAGGATTCAGGATAACAGAGCTCGTGTGACACACAGGCCCTCGTGTGACACACACCCCTGCTCAGCATAACAGTGCTGGCCTCTTACATATAGCAGCTTCAGCCCATTTCTTGTGGTAGCCCCTCTTCCTCCCTCACGTCCAAACCTCTTCTAATGTCCATCCATTATGCCTTGGCTCACCTTCACACCCTGGAACCAACCTTCAGCGTTGCTTGCAGTTGTGGTCATCTGTTTTCCACCTGACCCATTTATTTTGACTTCTGGATTTTGTTCTCAGAAAGGCCCCCTGCCTGCATAGCTGCCTGGCCAGCTGTGGGGCCAGCTGTCTGCTCCAGACTCCAAGGTCACCACACTCCTCTCTCCTCCCTCTGACTGGCCCCAATGAGCTACGGCAATCGGTGAGCAATAAGGATAGTATGACAGTTGTGCCTGGCTAGATATTTACCTGAGAAGGTCATTTCACTGGTAGGCTGCTCAGAGAAGTCAGGTGAACATTAACGCACCACGGTGGACCTCGGATCCAGGAAGACTGAGTCGGCCTTAGCAGCCTAGTGAAGGGGCAGGTGCAGAAGTTAGGTGGGGAACATGAAAGATTTATTTACTTTACTGTTTTCACAACATCCTGCCCTGGTTATTGAACCATACCCAACACACAGGCCACGCCCACCGAGAGCAGTGCCATCTGGTCAGCCGAGCTAATCTAAAGGTGGTGAGAGAGCTCCCACGATGATCCCATCTCCTGCGTTTGTGAAGAAATCTAGGGATTATATCATTCATCTTTAACACTTTCCCAAACTTTCTGAACAGTAGTTCATTGATTCTGTTTGTTCCTCAACTTACTGTGAACTGGCCTCTGCCTCTGCTAATCCTGCCTTTGCCCAGCTGGTCAAATATGCCTTGGGTGCGCATCCCATCGGTGCTTCTCAGCTTTGCCTTTCTTGATCTCCTGGCAGCATTTGCCTCTGTTAACCACAGCCTATTTGTTGAAACTTGCTTTTCCCTTGTCCTCTGCGCTACCTCATACATCTGTTTCTCTCCTATCTTTCTGGCTGCATTTCTCACTATTTTTTTAGGACCCATTCTCTGCTCACCCTCTCAAGTTTAGCATTCCTCTGGGCTGTCTTTGGGTCCCCTTCTCTTCTCCAACACATTCTGCCAGGGTGTCTTTCATTCCTGTGAATTCCATTGTCGCCCATCATGTGCGTTGATTCCTAAATCTGTATCCTCAGACTTCTAGGTCAAACGCTCACTGCTGTTCTGTGAGTGTCTCCAGGCATCACAAATTGAACATTACCAAGGTTGAAGCCATCCCTCGTTCCCTCAAATGTTGCCTATATGTATTTGTATTTTTGCTGTCTTAGTGAGTATTATTGCGTCTTCCCCATTATTTAAGCCAAAAGTGTGAGCAGTGATCTTGACTTGTTCCCTTTCAAAACATCATTGTGCAAGCAATCCTAACTTTCAGTAGCTACTACTTCTTCTATCACATGGCACACTTCTGAATAATTGAGTTCAACTTACCTTTCCAGTTTACCTTTCACCATTCTGGCTCAAAGCCGATGAACTCTTTTCAGTACTCAGATGCTGTTATTTCCATTACTGCTGAAAATTACATACACTGTGGCCTCCTTCTAAAACAGACTTGCCCCTCCTCTTTATTGACTAATTCCTTCACATGTTTTAAATCTCAGTGGAGAGGTTATAACTTCCAATTCTAATGTCTGGGTTAGGTGGCCCTCCTTGAGCTCTTGGTACATCCCTCTTCATAACACACTGCTTTCCTGCTTCTATCTTGTCCTTTACTCTAAACCCTACTTTAAGGTCCTTGTAAGCAGGGGCCACATTTATCCTATGCACCTTTGCATTACAGGCACCAGCAAAGTATTTGTACAATATAGATGCCCAAGGAATGAATGCATGAATAGAAGAGTTAAAAGTATCATTGTGAGAATACAAAATAAATTTCTAGTCAGAGGATGCAAAGAGGAATTATGGAACAAAGATTTATCAAGTTCCTCTGACCTCAAAGGGATTTGAAAGTATCTAAAACTATTTAGGAAACCTTGTCAACATTAGTATCATGAACAGAGTAGTTAATGGAAGTAGATTTCAAATCTGTGCCTTATGGGCTTCTTTTTCAGAGTTCAATATCCTGAGTCTCTGAGCTATGTTTTGGGCTCACCCAGGCATTCCATCCTCCTGACTTTGCATAAAATATTGGATTCATAACTCATTCCATACTTGAGAACATGGGGATAAAACTAAGGTAAGTGTAACTTTTCTATTTGTCTATTATTTTTTTCCCAAAGTATATTAAACTTGAGGAACAATAATTTTAAAATTCTCCTTCTTTCTGGAGTCTTTATGACAAGGTGTACCTGGCTTCCCTGCTGGTTTAGCCAATCTCACAACATCTGAATATCCTATGCACATGAAAAAATGTTGGGACATCTCCTCAAGAATTACATCCTTTCAAAATTTTTGTTTTGTGGCTATTTAAAGCCCTTATCATGATTTTATCATTTTCCCTCCAATATGACTCCACAGAGAGATAAATGAGTCTTGAGCTATCAGAAGGACTTCCCTCTCTGGGGCACCAGTTAGGCCAGATGCACACTAATGTAAGACATGAGCTGTCCAATCAGACTTCACCAGCAGCTCTGCTTTAGCCATACTGTCCAGAGACAACCTCCCAATCCTTCCCCACTGTCAACCTTCTAGAGCTCTCTACCTGAGTAAGTTGATCATATAGAAACTTGGACACTATTGATCTTCTTATTCATTGATTATTTCTTCTAGTATGTAAGCCTCATGAGGGTGGGGATTTTGTTGTTTGCCACTCTATGCTCAGTACCTGGAACAGTAACTGGCACATGGCAGGCCCATAATAAATATTTGATTGAATGGTGTTACTTAAAAAAAAATTTAGAGGCTGATGTACACTCAGAGCTCCAGAGAGCTAATGGAGGTCTGGTTGGCAGCTCTGTCTCCCTTAACCTTTTACTGATGACTAAGAAGAGAGCATGCTGAACAAATTTACAGATGACACACAGCCAGAAGGCTAACAAATAAGTTGGGAGATACCATAAGGATTCTCCCCCTCCCCCGAATCCTGACAACATGTAATAATGAATCATATCTAACAATATAAAGTTTAATGGGAACAAATATTAAGTACTCAAAGATCTGAAAATTCAATTTATAAGTACAGGTTGGGGGCGAGATAGCTTACAATTGATTGTGAGTAGATGATGAGTCAACCCAGTGTGATGGTACTTTAAAAAAAAATCAATCTTTTGTTGTATTAATAGAAATATAGTGTTCAAGTGGGGAAGTCGTTCTCTTGTAGTCACTGGTGATCAGGCCATATTTGTTCTGCTTTGTGAATTCTGATCTGCAGCCTTTAAGAGAGACAATGATATGGAGATTATTCAAAAAGTGTAAAAAGAATCAAAAGGGTTCTGGTAAATAGTGCCATATAAACAAGGATGAAAAGATTTAAGCTTGTATGGGGGTGTGCCAGGAAGAAGATGGCCACTAGCATAGGTGATTATTTCCACAGTGAGAGGGGCTATTTTGCAAAGGAGAGTTTAGGTTTCTTCTACGTGATCCCAAAAGATAGATTGAGGACTTATGATGAAAATGTAAAACATATGTATTTAAACACACTGTGACTGATCAACAGTGGGCTTTGCCTAGCAAGCAGGTGGACAACTGCTTGAGGTAGTGAGCCCCTTATCCTGGTGGTATTCAAGCAGAAGCTGGGCACTCACGTCCCATTTGCTGGATACATTGATGATGAAGGTCGAACATGGGGATGAGAGATTACATTAATCACAATGGTAAACACACCTAGGGTACTTACTATGTGGCAGATGCCATAATAAGCAATAAATGGGAGTAGTTATTTTTAATATTCACATCAGTCCTACTACTTCCATCTTACAGATGAAAAAAAGCAAGACTTCGAGAGATTAAGGAACTTGCCCAAGGTCTTTCACCTCATATCAAACAAAGATTTGAACTCAGGCAGTCAGAAGTCTGACCTTAATTATTATTCTAGAAAGACACCCATTGCAGAAAATCATTCTTTTCCACCTTGAGATTCTGTCACTCTAATGAAGTAATCAAAGTAAGATGCTTTTTTTTCTATTAGTAAATTATTCTATAGTAAATAGATCCTTTCAATATAGTATTCAGGAACTGAGCATTTGCCATTTGTGGCACTCTATATGGAGCCCAGCATCGGACCTGGCACATGAGGGTGCTCAATAACTAGGAAGTGAAAAGAATGAGTGAATGCAACCACACAAGATTGGTTGCATTTGAAATGACAGAATCTCAATATACTGCACCTGAGGAAAAAAAACAAGCACATTTCTGGGTAGTCTACGAGGACATTTGTCAAGATGTGATAATCCATCATTCCTGGCAAAGGCCTTACAAATTCCTGCTCAGTTGTTGGGACAATATTCATTTATACAAATATTTATTGAATACCTGTCCTGTGCCAGGTGTTTCCAACGTGCTGAGAGTGCAGAGGCGAATCAGAGGATGCACTATTAGTGGGGAAGATAGACAGATTAGCAACATCTTATGATGCAATGTGACAAGCACAATAGCAGGTGTGTGTGCATTATCTATATGTTTTAAGTGTTATAGAAGTTCAGAGCAGAAAGGAATCAATTCCACTTGGTTGAAGGAGTTGTCTAATACTTGATTGTGTTTTTAAAATGGTTGCCACATAGGTGATAGGAGTTTATTTGGTCTTCATAAAGACCATGCGAGGAAGTGATCCTTCACAGTGGAAGAAATAGTCTTGTGGAGGTTAAGTGAGTTCCTTAAGGTCATGCAGTTAGTAATAATAATTGCTGGTTATTTGTTGAGTGCTTAGGCTACCCGAGGCTCTGCTTTAGACCCCATTAAGACATTTAATCCTCACAACTTTTCTTTGAGATTGATATCATCACCATTTATCAATGAGAAAATTGAGGCACAAGATTTAAATAACTTGCATAGAGTCACATAGATCGAAAATGGAAGAAAAAGAATTTGCTCCTATGCATTCTGGCTTCAACAGGCATGCACTTAACCACTGTGCTAAATTGTCTTTGACTGATCTCCTGAAGAATTGGAATTCACACATACATTTTGATTCCAAGTTGAGATTTTTTTAGGTGACCTTGCACCTTAGCAATAGTGCATCCAAATGAAAAGAAATGGTCTGTACAAGAAAAGGCTTTGTAGGTAGGTCAGGCATCCATGAAAGTGTTTTGGGAACGGTATGGTCAAATCTATAATTTGCATTAACACGGCTATTGACAGCATCTTAGTACAAGCTGTAGATTCCCATGTTTTCAGTATGCAGAACTTTCCAGGGCAGCCAGAACTTGGCCTGTTGCTTCCCAGGTCAGCAATCTGGTTTCTAGGATCTGTGATTTGTTTCCCTTAGGATCTATGGATCAATGCTTACCCTGCAGCTTCTTAAAATTTAGTTTAAAAATTTGTAAAAAGAAGACAACAAGATGTAAGACAGAATGAAATAAGTTAAATTTTCAATATTTTATATATAAGCAAGAATGGAGATACAGAAAAGGAGAAATGAAGCACATAATTGCTTAAATTGTTCAAGCTTTCTCTCCATAATAAAAATTCTTAGACTGATAAATAGTTCAATCCAATATTATTGTGCCTTAATAATTAAGTGGGGTTGGCTCTGTGGCAAATCTGAAAAAGAAATGGTTATTAAAATGAATGAAGTAGATTATCTTTCCCTCAGTAATTACTACTTCATCTAAAGTGGGTATGACCTTTGCAATCAAATCTGCATTTTTAAGACATCCATGTCCCATAATCTTTGGCGATTCAGTCATTTTAAAAATCGGTTGCAAGCTGGGATTTCTGTGGTAAGTGGTGGGGTATTTGTACTTTGTTCTTTGGCATTCTTTCCTTCAAAGCAGGTAGGATTTTTTTTTTATAAAATTTTTTTTTAAAGATTTATTTATTTATTTATTTCTACAAGCACTGGGTACAGTCAGAAGCGTGGGAGGGTGAGAGAATTCACCAGAGCCAGAGCAGGGAGCAGAGCAGGCAGAAGGACCGAAGTACACTGCTGAGGGGAGCAGCGGGCTGCAGGAGAGGTCTGTGCACCATGTGGGACCCTCCTCTGGTGGCCGGGGAGCAGCCGGGGATCGAACTGGTGCTGCAGAGGCTGCAGGCAGCTTCGCAACCCAGCACTCAACCACTGCGCCACCAGCGAGGCCCAAAGCAGGTAGGATTTTTGGTTTGTTTGGTTTTTCCTGTTTTGTTTTGTCATTTATGGAAACTTAGTAGATTCAACTGATTATCTTGGCCTTTGTGTTTATGGATTTCTATTTTCTTGGCTTTCAGTACTTGGAAACATTTGTTTTGATGGTAGCAGGAGAGTTAGTCATGCTTTATTTTTGTTGTTCCTATTTATTTTTAAGATCCTTTAGTTCAGTCCACTTACAAGGTGTTGTGTAACCTGTATTTATGTCTCAACAAATGAAATATTCCTGGTGATAACTTTAGAGCAACCTTGTAGGAATACTTAATAATTTGACTCCCAGCTGAAGTCCATTAGAATGATTGTGAACTATGAAGAGTTAGAATAAGCGTATGCTTTGGAAAATCATGTTTGAAATTTATAATTGGATTTAGCATTTAATATATGAAATTTCAGTTTTCTTAGATCAATTATTTTTGTGTTACCAAGCAGCCAAATTCTTATAAACATATTTTTCCTTTTCATCACTGAATCCACAAAAGTTGGAAAATCTTTTCTCACATATTCCATTCTTTAACTAAGCCTGAAGGTAAATTGTTTTTAAAAACCACATCCCAAACAAACAGTTTTTCATGAAGTTATGAGTAACTGAGTAGAGTGGACTCTACTGGCATTTTGGATGTACATCTAATTAGAACTCTCCATATTTCAAACATGTAATTTACTAAAATTGAGGTTTTTAATTGTTAACTTTGAGTCCATTGGGATGAAACAAGTGGCCCTTGTTGGAAATATGTCAAGAATCAACTTTCTCAGGTTGACCTTTAGTTTGTTGGCCACCAAAAACAAGCACTGTGTATTCCAAGTCTTAAAGATGACTGAACAGTCCCAGGTTTGTTAAAAGATCAAGGCAAAGGTCAGAACTTCTTTGCTGCTGAGAAGAGCCGATTGCCTTCCCTGCTCCTTGGTACTTCTGAGTCAGTTTCTTCATGAGAGGTGCTCCACTTCTTTGGCTCCTTCTTTGCTGTGAAACAAAATATGTGGCACCTCCTGCACTCTTCCAGTCTTAGGGGAGGCAGAGTCCTGATTTTTAAAAAAGATTTATTTATTCATGCATACAAGAACTGGGGTACAGGCCAGAGGTGCGGGGAAGGGAAGGTGAAAGGATTCACCAGAGACAGACTGGAGAGCAGAACAGGCAGACTGACTGAAATACACTGCTGAGGGGAGTGGGCAAGACAGGAGAGGTCTGCTGCACCATGTGGGTACCCTGGCCGGGGATGGAACTCGTACTGCAGAGGCTGCGGATAGCTTCACAGGTTGCATTTTAACCCCTTTCACCACCAGGGAGGCCCTGAGAACCCTGATTTTTGTATTAATACAGATGGCTATCAGCCTCTGAACTGACGATGTATTTCCTAGTACAAGGCTCGGGGCTATGCACCAAAGATGGCCACAGACACTCTCATTCACCATTTTTGGTAACTGAAAAGGGATAACGCAAGATTCACAGTCAACTAAATTCCTGTGTGATCTCAAGCGAGCAATTTAGACTGTCTCCAAAGTAACTTTCTCTTAGGTTTATTGTAGTAAGTAATTGAAATTATGTATGAAATTACCTAGCACCAAACCTGGTACATAGTTGTAAGTGTAGATTGAATTTACATGACACATATAATAATCCATGGAACTTTAAATAGACCGATGGACCCAAAACGACTTTATCTGGCTCTATCCATTTGTGAGATCAGGAAATTTCACTTCCAAATTAATAACTACATCATCTACCAACGACTTTGCTTTAAAGACTACATTCAGAACAAATTGTTACTTTAATGATAATATATTAATATATGTCATAACAAAAGCTGACTATGGTTTCCTTGGGAGAAAATTACATATGAGTAAAAGAAGGAAAATTAGATAAATGAAATGTCTTTATTCCAAAATAAATGAAGAAGGGACAGTTATCTGATTATAGAACATTCAGATGATGATATTATTATTATATGTCTCTATATAATTACAAAACATACTTGTTTTAATAAGTTGGTTTTAAAATTTTTTTCTGATCTGAAAGGACTCATTTTCTCATAACAGAATGACAATCCCTGTACTACCTCATACTATTAATATGCTAAAAATACCCACTAGCTATCCTTTTCTTTAATTGCATCTACTGTCATGGCCTTACATTTATTTCAGCAATACAAAAGGAGTGATTTAAACTGCTTGCTCTGTCTGCATATTAGAAAGTAGGGGAGCAAAGCATCTCCCCACCCCTGACCCACTTAACTATGAAAAAGGACTCTCCCAAAGTAGTCAGGCCTAACGCTACCATAAAATTACAAGAAAATTTTGTTAAGAAACTCTTCTCATCTACAAGTTATATGACTGAAAGCTGAGGTACTGAATTTCAGCACAAAGGTGACTTTGGAGGAGAAAGTTTGTGCCAAACTGGATCAGTTGTTTTTGCGTTATGTAAGACGGAGAAAAAAAATTAACTGTTTACTCCTAAGCTATAAATTTAAGATTATCATATTACAACAAATGAGAGAATTTCCAAACCTCAAGCTCTACTTCAGAGTTCTATTTCCATGAGCTATTATCTGTACCCACTCAAAACTAGACCTATTTAAATATTAAATAATTTGTGTTGCCTAATTATATTTAAAAAGTACAAAATTATTTTACTCACCATGTTAGAAGTAAATTCAACTTGAATTGAGAAAATACATTGTCAAATAATGAAAAGATTTCTTTTTTTAAATTTTTTTTAAGATTTATCCACTTATACATACAAGAGATTGGGTACAGGCCAGAGGTGTGGCCTGAGACAGAGACAGAGACAGAGTAGGGAACAGAACAGGCAGATTGACTGAAATACACTGCTGAGGGGAGCAGCAGGCGACTCAGGAGAGGTCTGCTGCACCGCGTGGGTTGCTCCCTGGCTGGCCAGGGTATCGAACTCATGCTTCAGAGGCTGTGGACAGCTTCATAGGTTACGTCTTAACTCCTTGTGCCACCAGGGAGACCCTAAAAGATTTCCTTTTAAATAACTTTTTCCTAATTATATAGAAAATATGACAGCATAAAAATATAGCATTTAGAATAAAACAAGACAATAAATTTCACCCAGTCACCCACATTCTATCATCCAATGATAATCACCATCGACATTTTATTGTATTTCCTTACAATGGGTGTTCTCACACACACACACACACACACATGCTCCATAATACCCATTATATATAAACACACATTAATGTTTTATTATAGAAAATGTAAAACATAAACAAAAGTAGATGG